GATACTATGTCAAAGCAGTGCTTGAAAAGCTAAACTGGACGCACCAGTCCATGTATTTAAATAGCATCATCGTTAATTAGAAATGCACTCCTTTCCTAGAAATAGAGCTCGAGTTGGTGCTTTGAAACAGTTTTCTAGGAAGCCTTGCCGAGTCTCTTGGGTTTTAGGCTCTGTGTGGTGTTTGAAAGGAGAAAGTCTTGGTGACATCACAGCTTGCTTTCTTTTTTTTTTTTTTTTTTTTTCTGCCAAGACTTCTTGTTTCAACAGGAAACTGGAAAGTAAGAATCAGTTACTTCCTTTCTGCTGCACAGCAAACCTCCAACTGAAACAGTCTGGACTGGTTCATTTTGGAGTCAGATAGTTCAATTCAGTTGGAAGACACTGGTACAATATTTTCTTTGGTATTTGTGAAAACATGAGTCATTAAAATAAATTGGTTCAGACTGCTTAGCGGTTGAGCTCATCTCCTTGGGCGACTAGCGCCAGTGAGCGTTTGTTATGAGTGAGACAAATGCTGGAGCCTTACAGATTGGAGAAACCTTGAAGAGTAACATAGCATATGGGTGCTTGCTGCTGTTTTAGGCCATGTGGCTCGACCAGGGCCTGGTATTTTTATTTGATGGTCATTTTTGTTGTTGTATCATAGTTTGGTTTAATCTTTATGTTTTATATTAAGAACTGGCCAGGGCCCTAGTCAGGAGACTCGGGCCCTGTTCTCAGCACAGTGGCGTAGGAATTGTGTGGCTTGGAGGAACCACCACTTCTGCTTCATGTGATGAGGGTGCAGAGCTGGGAGGGAGGCGCGTGCTCCTGGAGCAATTCTGGAACGTAGCTGAGGAACTGCTTTAAGAGAAAAGGTCTAGCTGGCCTGGCCGTCTGCAGTGCCATCTCCTGTGTCCCCGAGGAACTGTCCCTTCTGGTGCCCCTGATGTAATCCCCTGACTCTACCCTTTCAGTTTTGGATTTTATATAACCTTTAAAATGTAGAGACCCTGCCACTCAATGCAGTCTGGTTATTGTGTGGTAAAGGGAGCAGACAGTTGGTGGGATTGAACCTTCTACCTGGTAGACTCCGCCGTCTGGAAGAGAGCGTGCTGTGCTGAATGTGGTATGGAGTGTCGGAAGGCTGAGGGTGGCTCTTCCACGTGTAGGGTGCCATGGTCGCCACAGACCATTCATTTAGCCCCCATTTTTGCCACCTGCCCAGGAGGCTGTGAGGATCCAGTGATGGAACACATCTGAACATATTTTTTTGAAATATCAATAGATGGCTTCATTGTAGTTGCTTTTGCCCTGTAGTTATATGCAGCCTAAGGCAACTGAGCCAGTGTTTTGAGTACCAGTGATGAGGGACACTGGTAAGGAGTTCATAATTGCATTGGGCATTTATGTAACCTTAAGTGTTAAGTACTGTAGGGGAGATCGAGCTTTTGTGAAATCACAGAGAGATTATTTCTGGTTGAAAGTATTTAATATCAACACTTTTTTTTTTTTTTTTTGAGACAGTCTTATGTAGCTCGGGCCAGCCTCGAACTCCCTATGTGGCTGAGGATGCTCCTGTCTCTATTGAGCATTGGGATTATAGCTGTGTGCCACCACACCAGATCTATGCCTTCTAAAGATAGAACCAGAACTTCGTGCGTGCTGGGCAAGCACTCTTGTTTATTAATGATCTACATCCTTAGCCCTTTTTTGTCTCGCAGTCATGTGATCCAGTTGCCCTTGTGCTTACAGTGTGGCTCAAGCCAGCTTTAGCTGTTTTGATCCTCCTACCTCCACCTCTTGAGTGAGTGCTGGGAGAACAGGCATGTGCCACCAAACCCAGAACACTGTGTTTCCTATGTTTACTTTGTAGATGAGTATGTGTATAAGAGCTATTCTTGGACTCAGGCAAGCCTGTTCTATATTATGAAAGTTCCATTTGATTAAAAAAAACAAAACAAATTGAGTGTTGTAGGTATGTGCATTGTGTGTGTGCCTGCTACTTGCAGAGACCGGGAGGCTAGAAGAGAACGTTGGATCCCATTGGGGCTGGAATTACAGGTGGCTGTGAGCTGCCTGGCGTGGTTGCTGGGAACTGACCTTGGGTCTTCAGCAAGAGCATAGAGTATTCTTAACCACTGAATCATCTCCCCAGCCCTGCTGCTTTTTATTCATCACATTAACTTGGTTTCTTCTTACCTAACAACTATCTCTTTTTAAAGATGGTGTTAATTGCTAATTTAATTGTCTTGATTTCATTTCTATCTTTAATTCACTAGCAAAGATTATTTCGTACATTCTGATTCAGGTCTGCTTGTTAATCCACCCTTCAGCCTTTGCTCTCAAGCCTCCAGTGTAACTTTCAGCAGTGTGAGATCATACAAAACCCCTGAAGCGTCTCAGTGAGCAGCAAGTGGGCCTGTAGCTTCTTAATGAGCAGTCAGTAGGATCTCCTTCAAAGCTGTACTTCTAGGCAACACTCCTTACCAGGTCCTTCAGTCCTGTCAGTGTACCAGAGGCTGTTCACAGAGCTCGGCCCCTGCCTCTCCTGGGTGTCTAAGGAATTGACGTTAAGCGCCACCTCATGGCGTGCCTGGCCTTCATGTTTTCCTTGCTGGCAGAGTAGCATGTCACTCATCCTCCTGACCTTGTTTCTTTCTTTCTTTTTTTTTTTTATTTTTAAGATAAGACACAAATATTTATTCTTTGCTTTTTATTTCCTCCGGAAACTATCTGTGGCCTCAGAGTGTTCTTATCTGTGGGTGTGTTTGGAATTACTGTTTCTGGAAAGAAAACTCCATATCTTTTTTTTTTTTTTTCTTTTTTAACATATACTTTTTCCAGTACTCAGTTCTGCATGAAATGGTTGATTTTTAGGTGGGATATGTTTCAGTCTTACAGATTATTTAAATGAATTTTCTGCATTCTTGGGCCACGGAATAGAGCGGATACACATGTACTGGCAGAACAGCGCACACCGTGTGGGCGGGTGGGCTGGTGCCTCCTCCAGCCAGGGCACTGGCTACTGGCTGAGAGATGAGCGCTGTCTCCCCCATTCCCTGGGCGGCTGGTAATCTTCAAGCTGCTGATTTTCTTCCTTCTCTTGACTGGACTAGTGGCCCTTCCTTTAGTGTAAATAGCTACAGAAAGATATCTCTATGGCTACCCTTTGTATCACTTATCCAGGAAGTACGAACAGACCTGGCAAGTTCTTTGTTAGTTTTATGTGTCTGAAGGCAAAGGAGAGGTTAGGTATAGAAAGAATTCATATACAAATGTTGAGCCAAATTAAGTTAGAATTTACCTCTGTTTTATTTTTTATCTCCTCATTTTCCCCTTATTTTAATTTCTGTCATGATCTTACTTAAGAGTAATACCTGATAATTATAAAAACTGGAAAATGCCGAAAATCGTTAATAAGGAAGCCATCTTTTGTTCCGCCTACAGTGACCGTCACTTTCAGTGTTCTGTCAGTTTTTAAAATATTCTTCTTGAAACTTGGCCGGCCATGTTGGCAGGGATCAATGCCTGTTACTTCATTGTATGACCACAGTTCACTGCAGTAGAAACAGCCCCATTTCTAATAAAGGTGTACGCATTTATATAGATTTACATTTGTATGTTGCGTACATGTGAAAATGTCATTGTTAGCGTGGGTGATCTGAGCACTCCTGGTGACAGTTGACCTATTCATTGAGAGTCTGGGTGCAACAGTAAGGGCTCATGAGCAGGTTTGGGTCTGTGTTGACCTTGAGCTTGTTAGACAGCTTTGAATGTCTGAAAATAGGCATTCTGCGCACACCCCTGCTCTTGACTCCAAAGCGTGCCTGTAATCCCAGCACTCTGGTAGGTAGAGGCAGGTGGATTGCTGTAAGCTGAGTCTACAAAGTGAGTCCGGGAGAGTTAAGGCTACACAGAGAAACCCTGTCTTGGGGGGTGAGGGGAGAATGATTTCTCTGTCGAGAGCTGGCTCAGTGGTTAAGAGCACTTGGCTGCTCTTGCAGAGAACCTGGGTTCAATTCCCAGCATCCACAGGACAGCTCACAGCTGTCCAGTTTCGGGGATTTGGTACCCACTTACCACATACATAGACACTGCATGTGGTGCCCAGACATGCATGTACACAAACACACACACACACACACACTCACACACACACGCACACGTGCGTGACCCCTCCAAATACTGAGTGCATGTCAGTCTTCTAGGATTACCCTATTATTTTTATGTTTGGCAGTGGTGCCATTCTTTCAATTCTGGCTCCAAAATTAGTCTTTACTGTGCTGGCCCCTGTTTGACACTGAAGTTACTGCCTTACTTTAGGTAGATACGTATGTATGTGTGTATGATTTTTGGGAGAGGGGCTTTCCCTATAGTCCAGAGTGGCTTGGAATTCACTGCATAGCCCAAGCTGGCCTCCCAGTGATAGCTGTCCCTCAGACTTAACCTCCCAAGTGCTGTAGTCACAGGCATATGCCACCATACCTGGCTGTTTCAGAATTTAGTTTCTTTCCAGCTGTTCTGTAGAGGCTGCCTGACAATCGTACTCCTTTCCTTTCTTCTAAGTACAAAGTTTAGTCTTTTCTGCCCACTCCTGGGCTTTCTTACCTGCTTCTCTGCTCTTCTTGTAACTTTTAACAATGTGCTTTAGAAAAATTGAACTATTCCATACACACACGGAACAAATACTACTCGTAAAAGTGGCACTGTGGTATCATAGCTTATGTTTTTGTTTTTTTTTGGTTTGTTTGTTGGTGTTTTGCATATTCGTGTGCATATACAATTTTAAAAAGTTATATCAGTCTGGATGGTGTGTAGCCTTTGAGAAAACACTAGTCTGTAAAACATTTTTCCTTTATTGTTTTGTTCTAGAATGTAGCTATGTTCTCTACCTCCTGCTGGATCTTGAGTTTTCACATTCTTCATTGGTGTTCTTAGCTCTAGCATTGCATTGGTGTTTGATAGATATGACATGAACGTTATACTAATTTTATATTTCTTTTTTTTTTTTTAAACAGGTAATGTGGCTTTAGATAATCTGCAGATAAAAGAAAATGCTCTGGTAAGGGTTATTATTTTTTAAATTATGCTCACTAACTCAGTTAATTTGGCAAGCTCTTAGAAACGTTTGGTTACTAGGCATCCGTACCAGGTACCAGATAAAGTGACTGAGTCACTCCAAGCAGCGTTCCTTATTTAACTATTTGCCATTAGAAGTTATGGGATTAAAGATTTACAACTCCCCCATGATCAAAATAGTATTTTTTTTTCAAAATGGAGTTAATTCCATGACCTAATTTGATTGTATAGCTTTGCTGTTTCCATTTGTCTTATAGAAATAGTTTTCTTTAAAATTATCCTTATATATTTTCCAGGCAAGTTAGGGCTTGGTACTAACCACTGGTCTAGGTGCTATGGAGCAATGAAGTGACAGGCTAGCCATAGAGCACTGAGGTAACAGTAAGGGTAAGGTAGCCAGACACTTGAGCTTTAGTGAAGAATTTGCATCCCTTGCTGTTGAGCTAAAACAAAGCTGTACTTCCCACCCAATGCGGTTCTATTTAACCTGTTATGCAAAACTGAAGTCTACGATGTCACTTAAGAATGTTTATTCATTACATTTTAGGATTCCTATGTGTGTGTGTGTGTGTGTGTGTGTGTGTGTGTGTGTGTGCACATGTGTGTGTGTACATGCATACAAGCATATGCTAGATTTTCTCATTTCTCAGTTTCGGTTTCTTAATATGCTTGAGCCCTGGTTCAGAGCCCGCCTTGGCTTTGTGGCCTGGCTGAGGTGAAGAAGAGAACCTGGCACATTGGAAATTCTCAGAATAGTTTACTGTCCTTCCTGGCTTTGTGTGGTTTATGTTGAGTAGACCTTTCCTGACCCCTGGGGAACAGAGCCCCTGCTTATGCAAATTCTTTTGTCGAAAGTATTATGTTCAGTTCCTCCCCACTTAGACTTTAGAATTGTATGATCATGAAAATGGATTCTTAGTTAATTGTAACCTATAGTATTGTAGTTCATTGTATTCATATATGTTATATAATAACTGAAAGTCTGCATGTGAAGTAGTACCTAATAGAAAATCTGTGCTGACTGGTTAAAATTTAATAATTCTGAAGATTTGTGATCGCTATGAGTGAGAGTTATGGTTTAGCACCCAGGAATCCAGATAAGGCAAAATTGTTATTATTTGTTGGTATGTAAAATTTATCTAAGAGAAATGATAGTTTGATAAATAGCATGTTAGGGTTTTGTTTACCTGTTTGCTAAATGAGAGAATTATTCAGTGGTTATTTTCAGCTGACTTAATGTGCATGGACTCTTTTCTGTTCTTCTTGAATTTCAGGTAAACAGTGTCCATCTGTTTCATTTATTAAAATAACCAGTTTATGTAATTACTTTCCTTATGGACCCCTTTCTATTTTTCCTGAATAACCAGTTTATGTAATTAACTTCCTTATGAACTCCCTTCTATTTCCTATTTATAATTTTGCTTCTTTGTAACATCTTTATGTGAAACCACCATTTAGCAAAGCAATCATAGCCATGAGTTACTTAGCTGGAACACTGATGTACAGAAGTGATTTTGGGGGTGCTGAAAGATATCCTTTAATTTTTGTCTTCCTTCTGAAGAGTGAATTGGATGTTCCTTTCAAAGTCAAGGCTGGCCAGATTGGTAAGTACTCCATTCTTCATTGCGTTGCTTTGCCCTTTATCGTTTTTATTTCACCTGTGCTGTTTAAACCCAGAAGTCTTTGCTTCATTGAAAGTGTGGGAAATTTTTGGCTTATATTAACTTCATAGTTCTAAGCCTAATATACATAATAGTAATATGCCCATGCACTTTAAAAAAAAAAAAAAAAGGGATAGAGAATTACTCTCTAAAATGGAAGGACATTTAAACTGTGGTCACGACCTCCAGACTTTGGTCTTACTGCATAAAACACTTCCATTTTCAAAGCTGATAACCGAGTTTGCTGTACATTTTCTTTATATTTGTGGCAGTCATACAGTTTTAAAACTCTGTTAAATAGACTGTAAGTGAAGCCCATTTTCCTCATGGTTGCTCACTCGTCTTTACTTGATGTGTTATGCAGCAGTGTGGTATGGAGGCTGTGCTCTGGTAAGTAGAGTCTCCTTTCTTGCAGCTCAACTCTCACCCATTGTCCATAACTCAGAATATGTGTCTACTGAAGAAGTTTTTCAGTAGGAAATTTAATCTGCAAGGCTACAAATAGTCCATGTGACCTAATTTTATTTTAACTTATAAAAACAAATGTCTGTTTATCTACCTATCAATTATCTATCTTTTATTTATTATATATGAATTTATGTATGTATGTACGTCTTTATTTATCTACCGTCTAATCTATCTATTTATCTGTCTATCCATCCATCTAAACGGCAACTCTAAATGGGTTACTGTTACTTTATAACTTGACTTAATTACTCATTTATCCACTCCTCCCTTATAACCTACTGCTAGATTGCATTATTTCCCGTTTTCAGTTACTGTTCTGATGAGTTTTAGGGTTTTATTCTTTACTGTTTTGGCATATTTTCTTCCCTTTTATTGAAATTAGATTTTTTTATCATATAATATATCCTGATTACTATTTCCCCTCCCTCTAATCCTATCAGTTCTTCCCCATCTCCCTTCCCATCTGGATTCACTTTCAGTATCCAGATTCTGAAAATAAACAGGTTCCTAAAGTACTATACTGTACTGTACTGTACTGTACTCTACTCTACTATATTATATTATACTATAGCATAATATAACAAAAAATTATCATATCAGAATTGGACAAAACCAACAGAATGAAAAGAGCCCAAGAGAAGACACAAACATCAGAGACCCACCCATTCGCATGCTCAGGAATCTCGTGAAAACTCTGAACTGTGAGCTATAATCTATACATAGAAGACCTGATGCAGACCTATGCAGGCCCTTTGTGTGCTGCCAAAGTCTCTGAATTCATATAAACTTTGATCATGTTGACTTAAAGGGTTTTGTTTTCTCGGTGCCTTCCATCTCTCTGGCTCTTACACTTTTCCCAGCCACCTCTTCCTCTGGGTTGTTTGAGCCCTGACGGGGGAGGGATTTGATAGAAACATACCTGTTAGGGCTGAGTGTTCCATGGTCTTTCACTCTCTGCATAATATCTAGCTTGAGTCTCTGTATTTGTTCCCATCTACTGTAGGAGGAAGCTTTTTTGATGATGGCTGAGCAAGACACTGATCTATGAGTATAGCAAAATGTCATTAGCAGTCATTTTATTGCTACATTTATTATTATTATTATTTTAGAGGTCCCTGAGCTATGTAGTTTCAGGTTCCTGCTCCCCCAAGCAGTGCTGGGTATGGTTTCCCTCCTGTGGGGTGGGCCTTAAGTCAAACAAGATGTTGGTTGGCTACTCCCACAAGCTTTGTGCCACCATTGCCCTAGTGTGTCTTACAGACAGGATAGCATTATAGATCAAAGGGTTTGTATTTATGTTTCTCCTTTGGGAGTGTGCAGAGTATCTTCCTGTATCAAAGACTCTAGAATATAGGGGTGAAGGTCCTATGTAGGAACCAGTTTGACTTCTCCATAGTTAGTGAGTTGTGCAGGTGTTTTCATTAGTGAAATGGGACTTTCTTTGAGACTACCAGAGACTTATTGTATTCATTATTAACTTAGTCACTGAAGCTGGGCAGATTCTCAGTTATTCTAACCTGACAATCCTGGTTTGGCCTATGTCCTGCCATGTGGCCAGTTACCTCTCTCAGTCTTAGTCCTCGCACTTGTTTCTTCCTCTGTGTCCATCTGGCAACATATTCCCCAACCCCCACAGATTCCCTTCCTGAGTTCTTATCTCTGTTGGAAGTCCTGCCTGTCCTCTCCTACCTCAGCTGTTGGCCAGTCAGCTCTTTATTAAACCAATCAAAAGAGGCTGCCGTGAGTTTGTGGAGAACAGCCTATAATTTTGGCAATAGCCTAGGTTGTTTGGGGATTCCCACGGAACCCCTTTGGCCAACAGCTCAATTAGATGTAACCCAATCTTGGTAACTAGAAACTTTATTTGGTGATAAAGAGATGGCCAGTTGAGCTGTCTCCTCCATCATTTGACAAATTTATTTAGATAGCCTTCATGTATATGAATATGTGTGTGTGTATGTATATGTATATATGTATACACAGAAATTATATATATATAATTATATATATATTATACACACACACACACACACACACACACACACACACACACACACACACA